ATTTTTGATATCAAACAATCCTATTTTTCCATAATCTCTTAATTTAATCAAGGTTAAGATTGTGGAGGATACTTCTTTTTTTTTTCTCTTTTTCTTTTGCCCTTGCCCATGAATCCATGAGGGGTTAAGTACCATATAATGTCACAATTAAATAAAGGAGAGACCTTTAGACAAGGGAAAATAATTTGTATACTAACATTTAATCGTAATAAGATCTTGCAAAATGGTGGGTGTGGTTATTGCCACACTCTCAATTACTAATATTATATATTTTGAATATAATTATCTATTATATTTTTACATTATATATTTTTTTAAAATTTATATATTTTTATTTTTTAATAAATTAAAAATATAATGATCAATTAAAATAAAAAATATAATATTAATAATCGAAAATATGACAATAATTTCACCCAAAATAACTCGATACTTCTTTTTTTGTAACTTTTTTCATTTATGATGAATGAATCATTTTTATTTTATTTCATATTAAAAGTTTTTATGTATTTTAAAATTAATTTTTTCTAATATAACAAACTTAAAAATTATAATATATTTTTAAAAATTTATATTTTTTATGTTTTAATAAATTAAAAATATAATGATCAATTAAGATAAAAAAATGTGATATTATTAATCGAGGATATGACAATAACTTCACCCAAAATAACTTGATACAGTTTTTTTTTTTTTGTAACTTTTTTCATTTACTATGAATGAATCATTTTTAGTTTATTTCATATTAAAATTTTTTATGTATTTTTAAATTAATTTTTTTAATAAAATGTACTTAAAAATTATAATATATTTTAAAAATTAATTATTTTATGCATTAATTTCAAGACTTGGAGTCTTAGCCTAACCTAAAACATAGACACTTTAGTTGGATGCGTGAAACAAACTTATTCATTAATATGGTGCGAGTGTTACCTCAGTAAGATTTATTGTTAGTAAACATTCTCGATAAATTTTCCTCAAAAAGTAGTAATAAAACCTTAATTAATGCACTCTTTCTCTCTCTCTCTCTCTAATATTAAAAGTTCATAATATTCATGGTCCACAACATCGCAACATTGTCATAATTTTTATTAGGATGAAGATAAATAT